ATTAACAGCAATATTTTTGGTTTATTTAGCCTTTCATAAGAAAAAAAATTTCAAAGTCACATTTTCACCATGTTATTCACACATTTATAAATGTCCTATTTTCAAACTAAATATTTATTTTACAAGTTAATTATTTAATTAATATTTAACTTGTAAAATAAATATTTAGTTAGCAAGCTAAATATTTAGCTCCACACTAAATATGTAGTTTACAAACTAACATTTAACTTGCAAGTTAAATACTTAGTTAATGAGCTAAATTTTTAGGTGTAAATTAAATATTTAATTTCAAAGCTAAACATTTATTTTCAAAACTAAACATTTATTTTCTAAGCTAAACATTTAATTACTAAAGTAAATATTTAATTTGCTAACTAAATAATTAGCTCAGACTTAAATATTTATCTTGTAAGTTAACTATTTAGCTATCAGGTTAAATATTTAGGTACGAGCTAAATATTTAGTTAGCAAATTAAATCTTTATTTTGGAAATAAATTTTAGCTTGGAAAAATAAATATTTAGGTCCAAGCTAAATATTTAGTTTGCTAATTAAATATTTAATTTAGGAATTAATTGTTTAGCTTAGATTTTTTTTTTTTTGGTTTGAAAATAAATATTGATCTTGGAAATTAAATATTTAATTTACAAACTAAATATTTAAGTTAAATATTTAGTTTGTAAATTAAATATTTAGCTTGGACAAACATTTAGTTTGTAAACTAAATATTTAGCTTGGAGCTCAATATTTTGCTTGCTAACTAAATATTTAACTTGCAAGTTAAGTACTTAGTTTGTAAACTAAATATTTAGCTTGTAAATTAAATATTTAGTTTGGATTTATATCATTTATAAATGTACAAATAACATGGTGAAAATATGACTTTGAAAAAAAAACTATATTTTTTCTTATGAAAGTCTAATTAAACTAAAATATTGCTGTTAATTTTTGACTGTGTAACTTTACAAACGACACCCCATAAATAATGATGCAAAAGAGCCCCATGGCTGTTGATTGAAGTGTGCAAACATTGATTGGGGCTAAGACAAGTAAAAGTCCCAACAGTCATTTTACATTTATGTCCATCTTAGGGTAAATGTTAGTCCGACAGGCGGGTCCAGAACCCAGTTTTTTGTTTCTGCAGGTTTAGGTGGTGTGGTGGCAGAACCGGATCTGCATGTTATTAGATCATAAAAACAGTATTGTGTCCATGTAACCCACACAGAACCGAATCACTTGACTCGATGGTGAACTGAAGATACGACAGCAGCGGCCTCATGGAGACAGTTGCCAAGGAGACTGGCGAACGTCATCCTGTAACGGTTGCCATGGTCCTTTGACGTCAAAGCCCCTCGCATCATGCTTAGGAAACCCCCTGGCGCCGTTGCCATGGATATAGGCGGGGGGGAGGGGTGGTGTCTAGAGGAAGCGGAAGTGTCAGAGCAGGCGGAAGTGGTACTGCCCTGAATACCCTGAGCAGCGAGCGGAGGACGGCTTGAGAAACTCCCATCCTTGAGCGAATAAAATCCTAAGCACGCTAAATGTGAGTTCGCTTTTATTTCAGTCGATTAATGTCATATATCGGTCAACAAAGGGAGCGTTTCGCGGGGAGCGGCGGTGACACCGCTGGCTGTGCCGCGGAAGGTGCCTATTGTGGTTTGGGGCTGGGTGCGAGGATTTAGGCCGGAGAATGTGGCCGCATAACGAGAAAGGACTCCGAAGCACCTGCGACGAGGTTGCGTGTGTCAATGAAGCTCTCGATGCGCTGCAGATATTTTCGTTGAGAAAGCACGGGGGGGGGGGGGACGGGTCGACGCCACCGCGGAGTTCGTTCGGGGAGGGAGACGCTTTCTGCTCGTTGGGCCATTTTGACAGCTTAGCAGCGGCCGAGCCTCGAGCGCAGCCCGGACATTTTAGCTTCCAGTGCTAAGTACGAGGCGCCGCGTCCTAGCGTGAAAACCTGTGCCCGGCTGCTTGTTGCGTCCCCTCGGACCAGCACGGCCACGGTTGAGTCGCCGTGTGTCTGAGATCCAGCTAGATGGACTTCTGAGCTTCGTCATGGCGCAGTGACCAGGAGCTAACGCACCTTTCACATTCCCCTCGAGTTTCCCGTTCAGCGTGACATCGAGTTGGACGTAAAATGTGGATTCTAATGTGGAATGGAGCCCGCGGGGCGGGAAGCGACGTGGAAGGAAGGCCGCTGCTGGCCCACGTAGCGTCTCGGCCCTGCGTTGGGTGTTGGCGCACCGCGGCGCAGATTGAACTGGGTCAGCTCCTGCAGCTAGCGGCTAAGCTAACGGAGCTAGCTGGGCGGTAATCTGTCCATCTTAAGTTCCGCAGCGCTGCTAGCACCGGGTGCCCGGTCCATGGGTGGTGGGGTGTCCGCTGCTGAAGCTGGCGCCCCCGGGCTTTGTCTCTTCTGTTTCCGACCTGCGTGGAAGTAGTCGGCCAGGTGGTTGGATAACAGGCTCGCACGTGCAGCGGCGTGCCAGATGTGATCGTAGCTGCTCGTGAAAAACTGATCGATGCCCGTCGACACTGCCGTGCCTTTAAAATTAAACCAAGTTGTAAATTACACACCGTCAACCCCGTTAAATTCCTCCAAACCTTTACGTGATTATTAAATGCGTTTTTCAAATAAATCACTAAACTATCTTAACATGTTCAAAGGGAGCGGAAGTATCCTAACCTGTTTTAATGCCTTCTACAATATTCACTCTTTGTTGTCGATCCACCACATGTGGACCAGATCATGTTCCCAGTTACATCCAGCAATAAAATGTAAAAGAAAAACTGTAACAAGATGTAAAGTATGAACTAAGAAAAACATGCGCTGAGCACTAATAACATAAATACAATACTCCGAACAGCAGCACGAACATGAGTCTGTGTGAGCACAGCAACATGAAGCAGATCAGCAGCAACATGAAACAGATCAGCAGCAACTTGAAGCAGATCAGCAGCAACATGAAACAGATCAGCAGCAACTTGAAACAGATCAGCAGCAACATGAAGCAGATCAGCAGCAACTTGAAACAGATCAGCAGCAACTTGAAGCAGATCAGCAGCAACTTGAAACAGATCAGCAGCAACTTAAAACAGATCAGCAGCAACATGAAACAGATCAGCAGCAACTTGAAACAGATCAGCAGCAACTTGAAACAGATCAGCAGCAACATGAAGCAGATCAGCAGCAACATGAAACAGATCAGCAGCAACATGATGTGATTTTTCACAGTGATTATTCTGGTTAGAGAGTCCTGAGTCTAACAGCCTCAGGGTAGAAGCTGTTCCTCAGTCTAGTGGTTGTCCACACCAAGACATGAGCAGATCAGCAGCAGTTCCTTCCCTGTTGTAAAGCGCGTTGAGCCACATGGTGTTTAAATGTACCGGTGTAGGTTGTTGAAGGCGTCACCATAAAGATTAGTCTCTCTGTGTGGGGTGAACCTCCTTGACTTGCGATGCAGTTTTGCAGATAAATCAAGTGCTCATTTTATGTTTTATAATGTTACAACTTTCAGGTTTGATTTTTAAATGCGATTTTTATCCCCATTCATTTGGAATAATCTTTTTGTTTAATCTGGTCCAGAGTAGAGTAGTTTGAGAACCAACCATTTGGCACAATTTATATTTGCTAGTACAATAAGTATAACTTTGTGTTACTCATATAACAATTGTAGGATTGCGCGTGCGTGTGTGTGTAAACGACCCTTTTTTCAAAATCTCTCACTTTGATTTGTGAAGGATGGGACTCGGTGAACCGTAACATTTGTCCCGTCAGCCTCTGATGAACCCACAGGGACGGGTTCTCGTTTCCTCCACAAACCCTGTAATGAACAAAATGGGTTTCTGAATTCACCCCGTAGCTTCATGAGCTTTCTGCTTTGTCTTTTTAAGACTAATGGAACGCCACTCAACAAATAGATAATTGATTTGTCTCATTTTAGCACTTGAGTCAGCACCGTGTGTGCTTTGGTGTTTTTATTAATTACACTGCGATACGGAGAGAAGCTCATGAGCGATGACGTAATCAGTTCAGTTACGTTGTGAAAAAGTTTAACCTCAGTTTGTCTGGGAGGTCTGCAGGGGTCCCATCTTTTCTTCGTCATTAGTTTTCTAACGCACAAGTTCACACAACTGCGTTTTCATAAACATTTGTTAAAATTAAAAACTACTTCTTGAGCTGTTTTTTTTAGTGTCCGTAACTTCTAAACATAGTAGTTGTATATATATATTTTAATAGATTTGATCGAGGTCAAGGATTCTTTGTCATTTGCATCATGTGTGGTACATGTGGTGGAACGATATTGTGTACACAGGGTTGAATATTACACAAAATCAAAGATTTGGGATGATGTGATTGTGCTCAGGGTTTATGTTGGGCATTACTTTGAGGATTGAAATGATCTCCCTGATGGTACACACAGGATATTTTGCTAACACGCAAACACTTCCTGCTTTTTGTATCATAAGGCAGTTTTAAAAAGCACTTTCAGGGAAATAAACACTAGTTAACTCTTGCAAAATATTAATTTGATTTGTGTGGGTTTTAATGTAATTTTTATTAACTCATCCTAATCGTCCTAAATGACTGTGTGTTTTTCTTTTTAACAATGGGCTTTGTGCTGCTGCTCCGTATTGTTTTCCATTATGAATGTTTCGTGTGTAACGTGGATCGTTTGGCATAAATTTTAGTTTATATCGGATCCTTATATACCGTTTCTTTTTGCACTTTATATTTTTGCTATTGTTGGATGTAATTGTGACCCTGAGTACATAATTTTGTTCCACCTCGTGTGCCACATGTGGTGAAATGACAGTAAACCTACTTGAAAAGTTTAAACAATTCCTAAAATGAGGTTTGCAGGTCACTTTTTTTTGTTTGTGATCAAATCAACTTCGTACAACCTAACTGTTTTTTATGTTTCTTTTTTAAAATGCCATTTTCTTTCACGGCAGCACGGTGGCGCAACTGGTAGAGCTGCTGCCTCTCAGCGAGCGAGCAGGTCCCTGGTTCAAACCCTGGTCCAGGGGCCTTTCTGGGTGGAGTTTGCATGTTCTCTCCGTGCATGCGTGGGTTTTCTCCGGGTACTCCGGTTTCCTCCCACAGTCCAAAAACATGCATGTTAGGCTGATTGGTAACTCTAAATTGTCCCTAGGTGTGAGTGAGAGAGTGAATGGTTGTTTGTCTCGTTTGTCTCTGTGTGGCCCTGTGATGGACTGGAGACCCGTCCAGGGTGTACCCCGCCCCTCGCACAGTGACTGCTGGACATGGGCACCAGCGACCCCCGTGACCCAAAAAATGGATTAAGCGGGTAAAGAAAATGGATGGATGGATGGATTTTCTTTCACTTCTTCTCTATTTGTTTGTTTCCTCTATGGTTGTCCACTGTTGTCATCACTCTGGTAGAATCAGGGCTCTCTGTGAATGAGTCCCCGAGGCTCAATGGGACTAACCTGTAGAAATAAAAGTTGAATGAAAAAAAAATTTTTTAACTAATAGTTGTTTTTAATATAAAGACAAAAAATGTTAAATCATGTCATCTGGACAAGTTGGTTTAACCTTTTTGTTCTGTACCGTAATTCTCAGACTACAGAACGCACCTGTCTCTGAGCCGCACATCTTAAATGTACGATGAATCATAATTCAGTACATAAATAAGATGCTGTGCTTATTTAGCTGTGAGCATCCACGGTTCATCTTCAGGAACCGTGCCCAGTCTGTGCGTCCTTCTTGTTGTAGTGCAAGGATCAGCCAGCAGGTGGCGCTTCACAGAATGTACTTTGCTCAGACTGCTGATCGTCACGAGTCTTCATGACGCATGGTTGCAACCATTATACCTTCAGAATGACCACGAGAACTATCTGAACGTGGTCACTGGACAGAACAGTGCCAAGCACCTGCGTATTTTAAAATTATCTACTGGGAAATACTACCCAGTTTTATCAAGGTCATGTGACCGGAAGTCAAACGGTACCAGTAAAATACGGTAAATGTTCATTGAATTAGTACTATTGATTTTTATTGTTGGACTCTTTTGGTAATAGCTGCTGTTTTTAAATGTACTTTTTAAATAAATGTTCATATCTTAGATCCTATTACTGTTCTTTTTACATTTTAATACTTTTGTTGGATGTAACTGGCACCCTGTGTACGTAATGTTGTTCCACCAGATGTACCACATGTGGTGGAACAACAAATGAAGAACCTTGACTCTTGAATATTCAAAGATGAGAACGAGGTGGAGTTGAGGTGGGGCCTACTTGGACGCACAGATTTTAAAGCAGGAAGCCTTCAGGGATGGAATGACAGGTGGCTCTCTAGTTTTGTATCTGGTGGTTTAGAATGGGCTTTTTGTATTTTTTCTAAGTCTGTGACAATTCAATTCAGTTTATTTCTAAAGCTCCAAGTCTCAACAGAAGTCGTCTCAGGGACTGAACAGAAACATTCATGTATAAAATAATAATTAACAGAAACATTCATCTGTAAAATAATAATTGAACAGAAACATTCATGTATAAAATAATAATTGAACATTATTTATCTGAGGAGCAGCTTTGAGTTTAACTCCATCACTGAACTCTCATCTTGAACAAGCATGAAGGCGACAGTGGAAAGAAAAACTCCCTCATGAGGAAGAAACCTTTAGCAGAACCAGGATCAGGACAAGAGGACCATCTGCTTCCACCGGCTGGGTTTGGTAGGAATAGATACACAATGGCAGGTCAAGAATCGCATGTTAAGATAGAAATAGTATCAAATGAAAACTATTCAGTTTTAATAATTCGTTTAAGGACATGAGTCAGTTTGTCCTCTAGTAGTCTAAGTCTATAGCAGCATAAAAACCATTTCACTTTCACATTTAAGCATGTTTGCCTTCTCAACATGTCCCATTTTCTTACACACCTTTCCACTTTCAAGCCGTCCGATTGTTTCAACGTACAAACCTTCCTGTTGTCCCTTTACGGTTATTCTTGACTGTTCTGTCTTTTGTGTCCTCGTATCTTGTGCTGCAGCCTACAATATGGAGAAGACTGACCTGGTGCAGAAAGCCAAGCTGGCAGAGCAGGCCGAGCGCTACGACGACATGGCGGCTGCCATGAAGTCTGTGACGGAGCAGGGTCAGGAGCTGAGCAACGAGGAGCGCAACCTGCTCTCTGTGGCCTACAAGAACGTGGTATGTACCCAACAGAAAACCATTGTGACATGACCGTTTGCCAATCATCTGATTCACGTCCCTCTGTAAGCTCCAGCCTAAAGTTCAATACATTTAAATGGTAGACTAAAGCTTCACTTCACTTGATGGTTTTTAATGCCTGCTGGTCTTCTTCTTGATTTATGTAGAGTTTCTGTGTCGTTGTGAGTTTGTAGCTGTTACCGGTTGTTAAATTTCCCTCGGGAATAATAAATAATCTGTTCAAACATGGAGGTCGTTTCTGCTGTTTTCATCCACACAGAAACGGAGAAAACGTTAGTTTTACACGGCGGTACCTGTCCTGTGTGTGGCGCTGTAGAGCTGCCGTTAGTTGTCCACACATGAGAAGGGAAGACAACGATGCTGGAAGTTATCAGTCCGTTGAGACATGGCTGGAAGGATCCTCCTTACATGTTCAGATATCAGGCTGCACGTTTACTACACGCGTCTTTTTCAACCTTTCCTGCTCTTCCTATTGGAAGTGTCCCAGCTGCAGCATTTGCTCTTGGTGACAGTTAAGGGTTATTAAAACGTTTTTGCCCTTAAATAAAGTGTGTGTGTGCGCGTGCGTGCGTGCATGCGTGCGTGTGTTCAAGACGATGTTGTTTTCAGTCTTGTCTGCTCACTCAAGCTAAACAGTGAAGTTTTAACTGCGGCTGAGAAACTAGCATCTGCAACATGAACGTCCAGCTTGTTACCTTTGTCACGCTTGGGGTCATAGGTTGGGGGGGGGGGGGGGGGGACTAGAGGATTTTGATATTTTCAAATGGTGGTTTCGTCTGTCCACACACAGATCGAGCCCTGGTTTGTTTCTGTGTGGCCGTAAGGCAGAAACGATGAATTTCACAGATTTGTGTTCTCGTGTGGAGGAAGACCTTAATTGGTCATGAAATCTAATCACTCCGCCCCTTTTACTCGTTTCGGTGTAATAATCCACGAAGCTAAGCTGGCAGAGGAACCACGACGTGACTAGACAGGAGTCCTCTGCTTCTCATCCAGACTGAAATCTTGGAGTTATGAGTCATCTACCGCACTTTCTCAAATCGTAGAAGTGTAATTACAGAAGCAATGATGATCAGTCACCTGTGCACCTTTTCTTCAGACCAAGTCGGTGCTTTTACGTTTCAAGTTGTGCATGAAGAGGCACGATGCTGTCGGTTCGATCGGCTGTGATCCGGTGTGTGGCGTGACGCTGCCATGTCTGTCTCATGAACAAACGGGATGGAAAGTTAAAATAGAAACTCAACAGCCTCTTTCACAGAATCACTACTGTCGCTTGTCACGACCGATGCTGCTGAGCGCCGGCTGTGACTGGTCTGGACCGAGACTCGCTGCTCCGGCAGTCGCATGGACTCGAGACTTCATTCTTTCTCTGACTTTCCAGAACCTGCACATGAACTTGTTGAGCTAATATTTATGTCCTGCTCTGTTTTTCTTACACACGACCCGTGTTCTTTCTCAAATAAGATTTCAATTTGAAATGTGTTTTATAAGCTAGTTGCTGCAGGGCAGAGCGAGCAGGCTGGATTTTATTTCCACTCAAACACGTGAAGCACCTGCTTTACGTGAGCGCAACCCCAGAATTTACTGCGCTGCTGCTGTTCATTGGCAGCACGATGACGAATGCTTCAGCTCCGTTGCCTCAGTGAGAAGGTCCAGCTTGGACCTGGACACTCCATGTGCAGTTTGCATGTTCTCCTCATGTTTGCGTGGGTTTTTTCTCCCACAGCCCAAAAACCTGCATGTTCCTGCCTTCAGGCCCAGGCCTCCTTTGCTGAAGACATCAGTGATTTTGAATGGGATTTGCCTGTTTAATTAAAGGTTAATAAATATCATTAAAGTTTTTGTTTTCTGTTGTGCATCCACACAAGCTGCAGCCTGGAAACACTGTGATTGGGTTTGATTTACAAAATAAAAGTGCACATTTCTCAGCGTCTGGTGATCCGATTCAGTTTTTAGTGTCGCGATACGATTTAAAATCGGTTTTTGATTCAAACGATTTTTCTATTGAAATGGTCTTAAATTTAGTTTCAGTTATGTAGCTGACGAGATGAAAAGATTAAACAATGTAAACATTTATTTAAAAATCATTTTAGTTCCTTATTGTATCAAATATGTTTGATTCATTTTATATTTATACCAAAAATAGGAAAAAATATAGGCGTGCATGAAATTCTGTAACTTAAATTACCAGTATTATGTTAGCTGCCTGAATTTTTCTAAAAAAAAAAATAAATAAATAAAAAAATCTAGGAACAAATAATTCATCCATCATCTTTATCCACTTATTCCTTTTCGAGCCACTGGTGTCACTGGTATCACTGGTGCCCACATCAGCCATCCCTGTGTGAGAGGCGGGGGACACCTGGACATGTCTCCAGTCCATCACAAAGACATGTCTCCAGTCCATCACAGACATAATTTAAAATATATAAATATAAGTAAACAGACTTCAACCTACCAAAGTACATTAACCTTTAACTCAACATGAAATACAGACTTCAGTTATTTTGTTCTAACATTTGTTATATTTTCAAAACTTAACCTAATATGAAACATACAGAGTTCAGTCTTAACCATATTGATTCTTGTTTAGTAAATCTTTAACTAAATTTAAAAACCAGTGCAAGTTTGCACAAAAACCTCTTCTGAACTGTGATTAATAAACCATAAAGTGTCTCATTTAGATCTGGCTCCAGATGTTTCTCGTCTCTTCAACCTGTTCAAAAGATAAATTACATAAAGTTTGTTGAACAACTTGTCTCTAAGTTTTAGTTTAATGTGAGAAATAACAGTTTCCTTTAGCTGCAGCTGCATCAGAGCTTCTCCCATCTGTTGTTTCATGGTGAAGTTGTGGAGCTGCTTTATCACAAATATAAATGTACATGAAGGAATAACGTGCGTTGGATCCATCGTATTAAAATAAAGCTGAACCCGTCACTGAGCTGTCTCATCATGAATCCTTTGTGATGCAGCAGGAGATGGAGATGGAACTCCTCACAGCCTTTGGACAATCAGTTTGTTGCACAGTTCGCTGGTCGGCTGCTTCGCTTTCATCTTCCGTGAATTTTGTCTTATTTCCAAAAAACTGTACCGCAGTTTTATTTAACGCTTCTTGTAAACAGCTGTGCTCTTGTTCAGCTCTGTCCTCCCCCAGAACCTTGTAGGATCTGAAATGACTTTTAAAGAAGAAGCAGCGAGTTGAATCGTGTTGTCTCCCTCCTCCATGCTAGCAGGCTCCATTCAGATAAAGAGAGCTGGCTAACTAGCTGCTGTACGGTGGCCTGCACGGCTCAATTCTACAGCGGCTGAACGGGGAGTAGGAGCAGAAAAAATATCAAACAAATCCATTTTAAAATCAATTCTTGGACCTTTAGAAACGATTCAGAATCTCCAGGACTGAGAATCTAGATTCATGGGAAAATCTTTTTTTTTTCTGCCCCTGTAAAAGTTGCATGATGTCACATTCTGCTGCAAACACGTTTTCATCTGTCGGGTAGAAAATTCAAAGAAGAGGTAGAATACAATGTGCAAACATCTGCCCACATCATACCCAAGCATGTTTTAAGATAATTTCCACTTAAATTTGAGCATTTTTTAAGGTATGCACATTTTTTATCTTGATGTCATTAGGTGGGTGCTCGCCGTTCGTCCTGGCGTGTCATCTCCAGCATCGAGCAGAAGACGGAGGGCAACGAGAAGAAACAGCAGATGGCCCGTGACTACCGCGAGAAGATCGAGTCTGAACTCCAAGAAATCTGCAACGACGTGCTGGTACGAACATGAATAATGACGGGCGTGCAGGAACGGGGCGGTTGAAGAAGCAGTGAAAAGGTTTCAGCAAGAAGTCGTCACGTGATGGTGTTTGTGGAGACTGACGGTGTTGCTGGCTGCTCCACTTCTCCATTTGATACCTTTTATTCATTTGGTGGAAAGACGAAAAAATGTGAGACTTGTAAGATGACGAGCCGTGAAACGTCCCGGCACCCTGAGGGCGTAGGTGGTTTCGTGTGATTAAAGTCATGGAGACGTGTGGGTGGTTTGCTACAGGTGCACAGAAGAGCGTTGTCTGAGCTACAGATTAACTCGCTGATGAAGCTCAAAGAAGAAAGCTTGCTTTCAAAATGTGTTGATTGTGAGTGGTAGAAATATGTGAGGCAGTTTGGGCTGATTTTAAAGCTCAACACGAACCAAGAAACTGAAGCACGAAGACGTACGCTGTCCATGTGGAAGGTCTTCAGTTCTGTAAAACTGAAGTCTGGCTTTCGGTTGCAGTCCCCCTTGAGGGCATCAGACTGACGGAGGCTGGAGTGCAGCGGGGTTCAAGTGCCCGAACCTGCTGTGACTTGAAGGATTTCAGCTCGACTCCGTTGAAAGATCGACTTTGCTGCTCTTAAAGGAACCGGCATGAAAACCGTGTGTGCTCGGCACTTTCTGAAGCACAACAAATGTGATTTTGCTTCACGAGCAGCTGCCTCTTACCGGCACGTCCCGATGAGAGGACAGCAGAAATGGCTCAAGGTCAAGCTAGACTCGGGTTTTTCAGCGCATGAGCAGACGTCTAATAATATCTTCAAGGTCGAACCATCGTGGTGACGTGGTGCTGCAGGAATGAAGGGTGGAGACACGCTGTCCTTAAAGAAGAAGAGCAGGAAGGGAAAGCTTGATGCAGTCAAATGACCAATGTTACGGGGGGGGGGGGCAGTAAACATCTTCTCACCTCCATCTTGTCCACAAGTCCATTAGGGGTGCTCGTGTTAAAACAGACTCTGTTATGTTGAAAACAAGTAATTTCTGTTAAAGTCAACTGCCCAGGCCACGCTCTGCCCCCCCCCCCTCCCCCCCCCCCCCCCCCACACACACACACACAGAAAAACTGTGGAGAACTGGGTGCTGCATGGTGTCTTCTCTCCGTGCATGATGGTGTCGATGGGTGTCAGTTTACTGCACGCCTGCCTTCACAAAGAAGTAAATATTTGAACTGAATCATCGTTACTGTTGCATGTTGGAGTACCACGCGTGAACATCTTTAGTTTCCTTCCTAGTTTTTAATCTAAAACTCTGGACTGAAAGAGTTGATTTATTCTTGTTGATCACTGCTATCGTATAAAATCATCCATAGTTGAGATGGAACTAAAATTGAACAGTTTAAAATTTGACTAAAACCTGCAGGAACTCTGTTTTATACTTTGTTTTGAGAAGTAGTTCTTGGAGCACTGTTAGGAACTATATATATACATATATATATATATATATATATATATATATATGTATATATATATAATGTATATAAATGGTGTGAAGTTGTTGCCATATTGCCTAGCTGTGTTTTAAATGTACTTCTCCATGGTTGAAAAGTTTAATGAAATAAAGCTGGTGTCCATCAGAGCTGATCACGTGATCTGGATCAGATCCTCCTGAAGCTGTCAGGTGAGTGCATGAGCAGCAGTAGGAACAACGTGCATGTGGAAGTCTCACCCTGGCTGAAAACTTCTTACATCTATGGGACACATGAACGGTGGCAGTAAATGGCTCCGACACTAAGTGAAACCTTCGACGTGTCCTCTTTACTGTCAGTAAAACATTTGTCCCGGTTTGTAACATCTGCCACTCATCCGTTTGTTTCAGAACCTGCTCGACAAATTCCTCATTCCCAACGCGTCTCAGGCAGAGAGCAAGGTGTTCTACCTCAAAATGAAAGGAGACTACTACAGATACCTGTCAGAGGTGGCCTCTGGGGATGCGAAGAAGAGTGAGTATCTGGCTTGAGGGCAGAGAAATGTCTGATAAGAGTTTAGAAATGTGGGATGTTCATTTAATGTCCAGCAGCTTCAGAGCCAAGGAAGCCTGTCTTTAAGAACAGCTGACTGGAAACTGTGGCGTTAGGGAAGATCCCTCCTTTCACTTTCACCTTGTCGCTCTGTCCAATGTAGGAAGAACAACTTTGAACCAACAGAGACTCTTTACAATCAGCTGTTGATCGTGTTAAGTTTTAAAGTTGTATTAGAAAACACAGCATGTGTGGTTTAATAAAGACTGTCATTAAAAATGTAAGACTCCTTATGATGAACACAATCAATGGAAACAATGTTCTCTCGCCTGGACGTGGGTCACCGGAGCCCCACTCTGGAGCCAGGCCTGGAGGTGGGGCTCACTGACGAGCGCCTGGTGGCTTTCACCCATGGAGCTCAGCCGGGCACAGCCCGAAGAGGAGGCGTGGCTCCTCCTTCCCATGGGTCACCACCTGTGGGCGGGGCCAAAGGGGTCGGGTGCAATGTGGGATGGGTGGTGGCCGAAGGCAGGGACCCTGGCGGTCTGATCCTCGGCTACAGAAGCTCTCAGGACGTGGAATGTCTCCTCTGGTGGGAAAGGAGCCTGAGCTGGTGTGTGGGGTTCAGAGGTTCCAGCTAGAACAGGTCAGGCTCACCTGGACACATGGCTCTGGCTCTGGAACCAGTTTCCTTGAGAGGGGCTGGACACTCTTCCACTCTGGAGTTGCCCCTGGTGAGAGGTGCCGAGCAGGAGTGGGCGTACTTGTTGCCCCCCCCATCTTGGTGCCTGTACGTTGGGGTTCACCCCGGTGAACGAGAGGGTGGCCTCCCTCCGCCTACGTGTGGGGGACGGGCTCTGACTCGTTTGTGCTTATGCACCAAACAGCAGCTCGGATTACCCGCCCTGTTTGGAGTCCTTGGAGGGGGTACTGGAGAGTGCCCCTCCTGGGGACTCCCTTGTTCTGCTGGGGGACTTCAACGCTCACGTGGGCAATGACGGTGAGACCTGGAGGGGTGTGGTTGGGAGGAACGACCACCCCTGATCTGAGCCTGAGTGGTGTTCTGTTGTTGGACTTCTGTGCACGTCATGGATTGTCCATGACGTGCACCATGTGTGCTCTTGGCACCAGGACACCCTCGGCTGCAGTTCCATGATGGACTTTGTCATCGTCTCATCTGATCTGTGGTCACATGTCTTGGACGCTCGGGTGAAGAGGGGGCGGAGCTGACCACTACCTGGTGGGGGGGGGGGGGATGCCGGTCAGACCTGGAAGGCCCAAATGTATGATGAGGGTCTGCTGGGAACGTCTGGCAGAGTCTCCTGTGAGACGGAGCTCTAACTCCCACCACTGGGAGAACTTCGAACACGTTCCGGGGGAGGTGGGGGGCATTGAGTCAGTGGGACATGTTCTGCACCTCTACCTGGAGAAAACCCACACAAGCATGAGAAGAACGTGCAAACTCCACACAGAAAGACCCCAGGTCCAACTAGGGATTGAACCTAGGACCTTCTTGCTGTGAGGCAACGGTGCTAACCACTGATCCATCGTGCTGCCAAATGTGGTGGGTGTTGGGGTGCCAGCTGGTAGAAGGAGCCGAGTCCCCGAGGACTCTTCTTCTTCAGTGGCAGCAAAGTTCAGAACTCTCCCAATAACAGCTGGTTCTGTAAAAGTGACGTCCAGATGAAGCTGCTGGAGTGACCGCCTCGTTCCTGTTGCCAAGAGACTGTTGCAGACAGCGATTGTTGCCAAGGTTACCATCATCAAATCGCCATGGTGATAAGGTGATGCACTGGCTGTGAAGGAAGTTGTGACCAGGGTTGCAAAAGGGCCGACATTTTCAGAAACTTTAAAAAAAAAGTAAAATTGGGGACCTTTGGAAATATTTCAAGTTGGAACCTTTTCATTGGAAGTACCTGGGAATGATTTGTACAAACTGCATCGTATCCAGACAAAAGCATAAACCTTCTGTTTATCATAAGAGAAATGACCGATGATGTCATGAGAAAAAGGGTTTGGCTCAAATTTAATAGATAAAAACTCATTTATGACCTCTTTTGTATGTGATGTCACTGATGACATCACCACACAGCTTCTATTGAACAAAACTATACATGTTAAAAAAACTGTGCATGTTTAATATGTCGACCTTTTTTAAATCTACACAACAAAATGAATTTCAGCAAAGTGAAGTCAACAACAAAACTATTAACACCGTTCAAAATAAAAAATGTTAAAGAAACTTGTCTTTTTGTGAATGTTCAAAATGTTTTAAAAGTTCAATATTTTTTCTCTTTACATTTAAGGTGACAGAATTGAAAGGGTCAAATAACGTGTTGAAACTTGCGAAGCGTTGTTGCAGCAGACCTCGAGCCGTCTGAACAGGATCAGCTGTGTGCGACACAAACGTGACGGTGTTTGTCGTTTTGTTTTGTAGCAACGGTGGAAAACTCTCAGATGGCCTACCAGAACGCCTTCGACATCAGCAAGAAGGACATGCAGCCGACACACCCCATCCGGCTGGGCCTGGCCCTCAACTTCTCCGTCTTCTTCTATGAAATCCTGAACTCGCCCGAGCAGGCCTGCTCTCTGGCCAAGCAGGTGGGCGCATCGAGTCTCTGCTTTCAGAGCCGTTGTGGTTCTGGGCTCAGAGTAACCCCACGTTTACGTCAACCTGTAGTTTTTCATGGTGGTTCGGCCTTTTCTTTGACTTGCCAGTTAACGTCACCCATGTTCATCTTTAAACGTGTCTGCAGGCTTTCGACGAGGCGATCGCTGAGCTCGACACCTTAAACGAGGACTCGTACAAAGACAGCACGCTGATCATGCAGCTACTAAGGGACAACCTTACTGTGAGTATGAACGTGGTTTAATAACTCTAATACAACACACAGCTGTGTTTATTTATACCCTCACCTGATGTGTCATGACTCACAGTGGGTCCAGCACCAAGTTTTGGAACCGCTGACCCGTCAACCTTTAAGTTGTTGCCTGATTAGTTAATATAGTTTTATATTTACTATATCACCGTTTCCAAACGGGACTTTCAAAAAGTAAACTGAATTGGTTGCATTGCCTGAAAGAAGAGCAAAATGTCAACGTTTTGAAGGTCCAAACGTTTGAAGGAGCTCCTGTTGTTGTTGCACTTATGAACAATTTCACGTCTGAAGCCTCCAGTATGCTGCAGCGTACGTACGCGTGTACTGTACGCAGAGGGTTCAGACATGATACTCCAGCGTCCACCCCGAGCAGTTTCACAGACGAGGGGCGTTTACCTTCGGGACAAATTGAGGTCGCTGATTGGTCATTTGCTGACACGCCTACTGGATTGATTGACAGGTCGAGAAAGAAAAAAAAGCTAGCGCTGGCAGCGCAGCCACAGCGGTGTTCTGTGTTTATTGTTAATAAAAAGATCTGGAAAAATAAAAACAGGGAGCGCTGGTCCTGCAGCCCACACATCAGACCAGCCCACCAGGAAATCTCCAGACCACCCCACCCGCAGCCACGCTGGACCTGAGTTTAATTCGCTCGTGACAAATTCCTCCATTTCTCACCATTTCAGTCATGGCATCAACGGAGGAGGAAGAGATCACTGCCTCTTGGCAACAAAACAAAATAAAAGGTCAGATCAGGGATGAAGGGGAATTTAATACATTGGTGTCTCAAACAAAACAGTCCGTCGCCGGGCAGTTTATTGTGCGACACCGCGTCTGCGGTCGTAAAAAATTGAGCTTTGGTCGTTTGAAACATGCAAACAGCTGACCTGTTGTTCCTGTGTCCGAGCTGTTTGGAAGCGTCACAGCCGAACTTTTGCTGCTTTTCCTGCTGCTCCCCACTGGCCTGTTAGGTAGTTATTGAGTCGCTCTTTGTTTAAAATGCTTCCTGACCTCTTTACATCACAACAGCTGCTGCAGCTGCAGCGTTCACCTGAAACCACGGACAGAAGGTCAACGAGCAGGATCAGGAGCAGATTCTGTTGGGGATCAATGAGAAATACTGTGTTTATATCGTGACCGGATCCTTGTGATCAGATCAGGACATCTCCAGGCCCTAAAGTTACTTCATCCTACAGTCACAGAACCTCAAGGTTCTTTGTCATTGGCATCACATGTGGTACATGAGGTGGAACCAAATTGTGTACTCAGGGTCCCAGTTACTCCCAAAAATACTAAAATATAAAAAGAAACTGTAAATAAGGATACAAGAGATACGCTGCACAACAATAATACGGTGCATGAAACAGCAGCCGGAACATGAGTGTGTAGTGAGCAGGTGGGTATGAACACAGCAGCTTAAAGGCAAGAGATCAGCAGCATGGATAATCAGCAGCATGGATAGTCACACATCACCAGTTTCACCAGTTAGTGTCATCACAGTGATTCTCCTGGTTAGAGATGGGGCAAAATTGTGTGTGCTGGGTGAGTGTGGTCCTTCATGATGCAGGTGGCCCTCTTCCTGTCTGAAGGTGGGGAGGCCGACTCCAGTAGTCTTCTGAGCAGCCCCCGTGCCACACGTTGCAGCTGAGCAGTGTGTGATGTCTGTAGCGTTGATGATGTGGCGCTAACGGACTCATCGTGTGTTTTCTGTCTGCTTGCAGCTGTGGACATCAGAAAACCAGGGAGACGAGGCTGAACCTGGCGACGGAGACAACTAGAGCGCACTT